CCTTAAGGGAGCAGTGCTCTACAGTACATAGGGTTTTCAAAGGCCTATTATATTTTTGAAGTGGATGGCCAATCCTTCTTCCAAGTCTGTTTTAATTTGGATGTTTAGTTTTAGAACAATATCTGACAGACAAGCATTTTACCAAGCAGATGAAAGGCACTTCTCTTACAGAGATAACCAATACTTTTACTGTCTCCCCACCCAAGCCACGTGTGTCTTGTCTCTTCCCTTTCCCTGCTACATAACCATTCCTTGGACTCCTCCCTACCTGCGCAAGCCCTGTCCACAGGATTCTCACCACTGGGCTAATTGGCAGCGCGATGGTAAATGGATAAGAGATGGAGGTTGTTAACAATTGTAGCTTGCTTGGCTTCACAATCAACACTCGTAACACCAGCGGTCAGGAAATCAAAACATGAATTGCACTGGAAAAATCTGCTGAAATGAAACTAAGATGCACCTAGTCCAGGCCATGGTCTTCACAGTTAATTACAGTGCATTAGAGAGCTGGACAGTGACTAAGGATGACAGAAGATGAATTGATGCCTTCGAAATGTGGTGCTAGAAGAGAGTTTTGAACATACATACCATGGACCGCCAAGAGAACAAATCTGTCTTGGAGAGCGTGAAACCAAGTTTCTCCTTGGAGGCTAGGATTTTGAGGCTCCATGGCCAGGAGAGACTGGTTCTTGGAGAAGAACATCGTGTTTGGAAGGGTGGAGGGACAGCACAGGAGAAGAAGAACCCAGAGGAGATGGATTGATCCAGTAACTGGAGCATTGGGGGTTGATGTGTCAGAATTAGTGAGACTGGCTCAAGACAGGGCAGGGTTCAGAGCTGCTTTACATAGCTATGAATTGCAGGTGACTTGATGGCACATAACAAACAAGGGAACAGTAAAGATGGACAGTGCAGGAGAGACTTCACCATGTTGCTGCAAAAATGATTCCAACTTGATTTGCTAATAAGAATTAAAAGAAGTACTTGTTTTGCTTTATATTCACACTCCAGAGGAATTCCTTTTTTGTATGAATTATAAACAGAAAGCCTGATACTGATGAAAAGGGAAAGATGGCAGGATTCATCCAGTGTCCTTTCTGACAAAAGCTTGTCGTATTTTTTTTTAAAAAAATATTTTTTTCCTTTTTAAAAAAATTGTGATTTTTAGCAAAATTTTACAAAAAAGTTAGATTTTCATTCATTCATTGTTTCACATTTTCCTTACTCCTCCATTATTCCTCCATGTAGTTCACTTCCTTTTTTTTTTTTTTTAAATTATTCTACTGGAGGAGGAGGGGCAGTCTCCTCCTGTGCTAGTCGGATCTGATTCGATGGCACACAGTAACAACAACAAAAGTTAATTCGTAGTTGTACAAGTCCCCCTCCCCCTCCAGTCCTCTTTGCACTGTAACTCTTATTCTGGACTGTTGTTATACATATAATGCCTAATCATATATTCCTTTTAAACAGTTCTTTCCTTCATCTATTCCAATGCAGTGTGTTTTATCTATCCCCTCTTCCCTCTAACCCCCTGCATTAGTCCTGTTTTGTTATAGTGCTGTTATGCAGTATTTGTCCTTTTGTGACTGAGATATTTCACTCAGCATAATCTTCTCTAGGGTCATCCATGTTATGGAATGTTAAATAAGTTTCTTGTTTTTCAGTGCTGCATAGTATTCCATTGTGTGAATATATTCTTTTTTTATCCATTAATTTGTTGATGGACACTTGGGTTGTTCCCATCTCCTTGCTATTTTGAATAGCACAGCAGTAAACATGGTTGAGTGTACATCTGTTTGAGCCATGGCTCTGGTTTGTCTAGGATATATTCCCAATAATGTGGAATTGCTGGATCAAGTGATATTCCTATTTCCAGCTTTTTGAGAAAGTACCAGACAGCTTTCCATAGTGGTTGCACCATTTTACACTCCCACCAACAGTGAATAAAGATTCCAGTCTGTTAAAGTCTTGGTAGCATTTGTTGTTTGCTGCTCTGTTGAACTTTGCTATTGTTGCTGGGATAAGATGAGATCTCATAATTGTTTTTATAAACTAGTCTTCTAAGCCACCTTTTTCTGACATTTTCTGTTTTATTTTTCCTTATATTTTCCCTGGTGTGGTAATGGCATCACCATGATAGCCTTGTCCTTTGCTCCCAGAACAAAATGTCTGAAGGACTAAAATTCCAGTTGTATCTCCATTGCCTGAATATGCAAGTGTGGTCCTAGGGTTAAGTGCTGTACTTTTTGTACCAGTTGTTAATATGCCAGTTCCTGCTAGGATTATTCTTTGGTATTATAAATACCTAATTATAATTTCTCCAGTGATCTGAACAGAATTCTTTTGGAATGCTAGAATCCTGGTTGCAGGAACTCCTTCAGGGTCTCACTGACACGTGCTACCATTCCCATGACACAGAACCTTCCCTACAGCATCCCATCTGGTTGTCTAACTTCCTCAAGGATAGGGGAAAACCATCAAAGGTGGTGATGTTACTCACAGTAGCCTACATGATTGGAGGGAAAATGTAACAAGCAGACATAACTGTTGTTCAATATTTTCCAGTCCGTTCTGACTCATAGCGACCATACAGGACAGACTAGAACTTCCACATAGAGTTTCCTAATCTGTACTCATTATGGGAGCAAGTCTTTTCTTGAACAGAGTGACTGGACTGGTAAGCTCAAATTGTGTACCTCCTGGGACTGAGACCTTGTATCTCTAAGGCACTTACAATAGTAATACATACTGTAATTTTTATTTGAGTTTTACATTTTTATCTCTAATCCTGACAATCCTATAAGTTTGCTTTTACAAAAGCAAACTGTTTCTCAGATGAGGAAACTGAGGCTAAAGTATTTGTACAAGGAGGAGGTGGTGGTGGTGGTGGTGCCAGTGCCAGTGCCAGTGCCACCATCCAGGTGATTTTTCAACTCTCAGAGACTTCCTGTGACAGAGACCTGCCTCGTGTAGTTTTTCTTGGCTGCCATCTCTACGGAAGCTGTTCTGGCTTCTGCAGAACTGCTGGCTGGGTTCACACTGCCAGGCTTCGTGTTAGTAGCTGAACACTAAACTGTTGCACTTACCAGGATTTCTTCAAGGATGTAGAGAAAGTCAAGTCTTTGCTGTGGAGTCAGACCTAACCTACTGCAGACCTTCCAGTGAGTTTTCAGCAGCTGTAAATGACAGCAGAGGTGTAATTGACATTACATCTTTCTCTTACAAAGCTGCTACTGGATTTGAACTACCAGAGAGGTGTGACCTGTGGGTTAGCAATGTGACTCCCTGCAGACTAGGCCACCAGGGGTAGTTAATACAAGCATTGTATTACTATAAAGTAGTAATACAAGCAACGATTTTACTCTGTGGAGAAATGAAAAGGTAGAAAAAAAGGGTAAAGCTGTATCCCTTTCAGTTCTCGCCAGATTACTGAGGCAGAGAAGCACCTGCTTTATTTTTCCTAAAAAGAAGGAAAAAAAATGCTTCTGTTTACCAATCTGTCTAGAATGGTTTTGAAACCAAAGTTAGTAACATTTCTCTGCTTGAGAAAAGGACTGTCATAATTTTCCAGTGCTCCTGTAACTGAGGTACCTATGCAAGTCGATGGCTATAACAACAGAATTTATCTCTTAGAGCTTTGCTGTTGTTGTATATACCATCGAGTCAGAAGTGACTTACAGCAGACCCTCCCGTGGGTTTTCAGAGGCTATAAATCGCATAGGAGGAGATGGCTTGTCTTTCTTCCATGGAGCAGCCGAAGGGTTTATGCATTTGGGTTGGCAGTGCAGCTCCTTACCATTAAGCCACCAGAGCTCCCTCCCTACAGTTCAGGAGGATTGTTGTTGTGGTTGTTATGTGCCATTGAGTCACCTGAGACTCATAGTGACCCTATCTACAATGTCCCTGAACCCTGCTCTATCCTGAGCCAACCTTATTGTCTCTGACAAGCCTACCCCCCCGATCACCCCAGTCACTTGTGTCAATCCATCTCATCAGGAGTCTTTCTCTCTTTTTTTTTTTTGAGTCTTTCTCTCTTGTGCTCTCCCTCCACCCTTCCAACCATGATGTCCTTCTCCAAAGACTGGTTCCCCTTTGCAACATGTCCAAAGTGTGTCAGATGAAGCTGCAGAATCCTTGCCTCCAAGGAGCCATCTGGGTTCAGTTTCTCCAGGATGAATCTGTTTGTTCTTCTAGCAGTTCATGGTATATAACAAAATTCAAAATGCCACCTCTAGGGGATGCCCTCTCCATCTGTATTTTGGAGAGTAAAATTCAGTCCATCGCAGGTGCTTATAGACTGTATAATGCCTGAGGGTATACACAATGAAAATAGGATTTCCCCTTTTCTTTTCTGCAGCCTTTTTTCATTTGTGTGTATTATGCTTTAAGGAATGTTCTCTGTTTTCTTTTGCTCAGTGCTCCCTGGAAGTGGCTAGTCAAGCTTCCACTGTAGCCTCTGGAACCCCACGGTAGTCTCACCAGTAGCTCTGAGATTAAGAGTCATCACACTAATTTGGCTTGTATATTGATACCCTAAGCCAGTCTCTGTGGCCAGGTGTGTGTTGTGGAGGATGGGGGAGCAAAGCACATGAACTGAGATGGGAATAGATGTGGCTCCCCAAGGACAATAAAGGCTCTAGCATCAGAAGAAAGCACAAGGATATTTGGGCACGCAGAACAAGTGTCTGTTAAACCAAATAACAAAGAAAACAACTCTTGAAGGAGTGAAGCCACGTAGTCGATATTGCCCAGGGTAATTTGAAATGTCCCTAGCATACAGCTTAGTGTCCTGTGCATTTGTACATACCTCTACTCTGCTTGTCCTTCCGGCTGTGTTACCAGGACTGGGGAAAACAGAAAATATCCTTCCACACCGTAGACTAGACAGCTTTTCTTCCCATTTCCCATTAACAACATGTTTAATGATTTTTTACTTATTTTGTTGTTATTAATTAACAGTATATACAGCAAAATTTTCCCAGTTTGTCAGTTTCTACATGTTCACTGCAGTGACTCTGATTACATTTGTATTAATCACATTTTCATTTCAGGGGCGCAGGTGTGTGTTGAAAGACTGTTGCAAAATTCTTGACAACACAGTATTACCCCCAGAAACTGTGGTCCCCCCGTTCACCATCTTCTCAGGATGTCCAGGTAACTTTGACTGTTGATTAAGTTTATTTTAACCTTTTCATACATCAAGTTTATTTTCATCGCCTATGTAATACATGATTCCATCTCTAATAATATGTGGTTGTTATCATGTGTTAACTTAAAAAGTCTCTTGCTAATAAGTACCTAGAAACGGTATATAAAATGTCACAGATATGGTAAAACGTACAATTGGGGTCACAAGAAAAGAAGAAAATGACTAAGGTTAAAAAAGAAAGAGGAAACTAAGCTGTAAAAACTATGTACTGGTGGTAGAGGAGGCAACAGCTGCTCTTCATTGACTTCTCGAGGAAGAAAGATTCCTAGGAACAGCACAAAACTGCCCCCTGAGAGGTCAGACTGACTCCCACGCTCCATATCTTCTACCAGTTCCAGCACCACTGTCCCTCCCACAGTGCACTGCTCCTCTGCTGGCCTTGAGCGTTCATTTCAGTGGCCACACCAAACTTGGAGGCAATACTTAGAACTATAGGGTTTATTAAGAAGCTCTGCGGGTATAGTGGGTGATCAGCAGTTTGGCTGCTCACCAAAAGAACAGTGCTTTGTATCCATCACCCACTCGGTGGGAGAAAGACGGACATTTCCCCCTCAGAAATCCAAAGGCAGGCCACTGTGAGTTGGAATCACTCAGTGGTGATGGGCGTGGTTTGCTTTTTGGTGCATAGACTTTGTTAGGGAAGTAGTTTGGGAACATTTAGAATGTATTTCTTCAATCAAGATAACCTCTTCTCACCTGAGCTGAAAAGCAGGTCTCCCTCCTAATGTCAACCTGGCCTTAGCTCCCACCACCCGAGCTGTTACCAAGCTCCTTTAGCTCTTCGTAGTAGAGACTTTGGAAGGAGTGGCATCCACTTCCATAATGGCTTGCCTCCGGAAACCCTATGAACCTGGAGAGAGGATGAAAGGCACCCAAGCGTCGAGGACTCTCCTTCATAGGGTTGCTATGAGTTGCCAGCGACTCGACAGCACTTAACAACAACAACAACAGTAGAGACTAGGGCCACCCCCATTTTGCCTGGACCTGAAGGTACACAGCTCTAGCTCCATGGATCGAAAACCTACAACTTTGTCTCCCTTCAGTCTCTGGTTCCTTGCCACATTTGTGGCCGCTGCTGCTACTGCATTGCTGTCACCTTGTGCCAGCTTGCCAGTTCTGGCTTGACAGTTTCCTGTCTCTGGTTCTCGCATAGATCTGTGGTCTGAAGGATACCCTCCACTCGCTGCTTCTTTTTCCTTCATAGGATCATCTGCCCCTGAGCCAGCTCAGTTTTAGCCTAGCAGAATGGCATATTAGCATCTTATGTCTTTTATTTGCATATTGCCACCCAAAGTTGCCACTTACCTTATTTACATTATTAGCAAGCTATCCAGTCCCCTCAGTGAGCCACAAATGCCTCACTTGTGCATAGTCCTACCAGCAAAGTAATGAGAGTGACAAAGACAGTGGTATAGAAGAGTCGTGCTCATGATCCACTGTAGCACATAAGCCCAAGCTATCAGCATGCCTGAGAGAGGCTGTGTTTGTGATAAGGTGGTTTAGGGCTTAATACTTAGGTGGTGATGGGAGCATATAGCCTTGGACCTACACATAGCAGAGAGTTTGAGTTTAAGTCTCTCCCTTAAGAATCTGAGTAAGAAGTGTGTACATTTTGCATCTTAAATTCAATGACCTGTTGTTGTTGTTGTTATATGCCATCGAGTTGCCTGCGACTCATAGCGACCCTTTGTAGAACAGTCCTAAACCCTGCTCTGTCTTGTGCCAGTCTCACTGTCTCTGCCACACCCACCCCGATTACCCCAGTCACTGAATCAATCCACCTCATAGATGGTCTTCCTCTCCTGCGCTGTCCTTCCACCCTCCCAAGCATGATGTCCTTCTCCTCTTCTCTCCTCTCCTCTCCTCTCCTCTGTGCTGTATATATGTAGATGAGAGTATAGGGGTATCTGATACGGGTATATGGAATTGTTAATTCCTATGTAAGTAGAATCATGTTCTTGCTACTCCCCTCTACACTGTTCTGAAACTTCTTCTTTTTTTATGTGCCGTCAAGTCACCTGCGACTCATAGTGATGCTACATTCAACAGCCCTAAACCCTGCTCTATCCTGTGCCAATCTTATTATCTCTGACACACCTACCCTCATTACTTCAGTCACTAAATCAACCCATCTCCTCGAAGGTCTTCCTCTCCTGCGCTGTCCCTCCACCCTCCCAAGCAAGACATCCGTCTTCAAGGACTCGTTTCTCCTTGCATCATGTCCAGAGTATGTCAGATGAAGCTTAGTTGCAGAATCCTTACCCCCAAGGAGCAGCCTGGCTTCACCCTCTCCAGGACAAACTGTTTGTTCTTTTAGCAGTCCATGGTACATTCAGTACTCTTCACCAACACCACAGCTCAAGGCATCAATTCTCCTTCTATGATCCCTAGTCACTGTCCAGCTCTCTGATGCATAGCAAGTGATTGCAAAGACCATGGCCTGTATCAGGTGCACCTTAGTTGCCAGACTGACATCATTGCTCTTCAGTACCTTGGAGCGTTCTCTGACAGCAGACTTTTCTAATGCAATATGTCTTTTAATTTCCTGGCTGCTAATGCCACGAGTGAAACTTGCTTTCTTTCTTTATTTAATAGTCTCTCTTGGACAACTTTTCTTAGCTGTATGTAGCTCTTTACCTCATTTCTTTTGATGTTACATTTGAGATTACATCTTCTGTTGTGTTTTTTTTTTTTTGCAAAGTGACAGTCATTAAGCTATTATTTATAGGAAGCAAACTGTAAACAAAATAACATTTTATTTTTCAATTATTTAAAAATTTTATTAATTTTTTGTGAGTGTACTGTCAAATCGGATCTGATTGTCCCTCCTTTTCCATCACAGCATTATTTTTTTTTAAAGAAGTAACCAACTTCCCCTTTCGCAAATTACCCACATCCATTCTGGCAGATGTCCTGAGGTTCCAGTCACTGCTGTCCACTGTCAGTGTTACCACTACAACACAGGGTGGCCTGCTTGGTTCCTGAGGCTCCTGCTCCCACACTGGGCCTTGCCGGCCACTTTGGCAGTTCCTGCCATGTTCTCTGACCTGCAGGAATCTTTGGCTGTTGTGCTACCTCCATGGCAATTTTCACCTCCTGTGTGGAGCAGACTCAGGCCCCTCCTGACCTGCTCAAGCAAGTGTTTTAGTTCTGTTAGCCCCCCTGGCAAGCTCTTGCCCTGAGGCAGCAGTCTCCTCCTTGCTGTAGGAAGAACTCAGTACCTACACATTCAAGCCTCTGTCCTGCACAGGCCTGTGTTGCAGCTCTCTTTTCAATCCACTGACAAGTCTCTGACCTGAAGACCCTTAGCTCTCATGCCTGGACTGGCAAACCCATTGCAGTTTCCTTGCTCCATGAACTGGCATGTCCACTGCTGCTGTTCTGTCATATCAAGCCATTTTCAGTGTTACAGCTCTCTCTTCTGGGTCTAGGAGTCTAGGAGGTTCTCAGCACAAGGACCCTAGATCCAAAGGCCATGTTGCGCTCTCAACTCATTTTAATAGTAGTGAGGGCCCTGAACATTTATGCACTTGACCCTTCAAGAAGCCCACCCCTTGCCAATTTAAAAACATGATCCTTCCAGCTGTGCCATTTAGTGGCCAGTGCCCTCACTGGACCATAAGCCTCTCAATTTGCATACTTTTAGTCAATCATTTTGTAAGAATTATGAGACCATGGCTAGAAAGATCATATATAAGGAATTCATTTTGCCACAATGTAGTCATATGGCTTCCTGGGTTTATGCAGATCATCCACTTGCCACCAGATTGATTCTGAGACATTGTACCACCATATGTGTCAGAGTAGAACTGTGCTCCACAAGTGGTTTCTCTTCCTTTTTAAAAATAATACCTAATTGTGTTTTAGTAAAGGTTTACATGGCATTTTAGGTTCTTAATCAACAATTTTTACACAAAATGGTTTTAACACTAATTACATTTTTCAATATACAAGAACATTTTCATCATTTTTGTTCAGCTGGTTGTAGTTACATTTTTCTTGGCATGTAATGTCCCCCAGGTGTACCTAAGAAGTCCCCTAGTAATAATGGATTGTTACCCATTGTACCTTGTTTGTCGCCATTAGTATCTTTGCTCTTGGAACACTCTCAAACACATATTGTTGAGTAATTGAGAAATCACCACATTACCTGTGGGATATTTTCAGGTCCTACCATAAGAACGTCAAAATTTTTGTTGTAGTAAAACCCGTGAACACTGGAAATTATGTAAGGTTTAAACTTGTCAGAAAAGGAAAACACAAATATTTTCCATTCAATAGAGAGAGCCCCAAGTGGGAGGACTGTAGGCTGTCAAAGGTAGATCACTTCCAAGACCTGAAAAGAACAAGGCCACCTCATTGAGTTCCAGCTCTCATGGCTTCCACTGTGTTCCTGAATTATCCTCCAAGAGGTGTGCACTCTCACTAGATGTTTATGAAACAATGTCTTTCTTCCTCTGACATTGTTAACTGTGATTGCCCCGTCTTTTTATCCCACTCTCCTCCATATTTGTCTGTGTCGAATATATTTGAGCTTTGGATTTAGTTTGGTCATGTGGCCAGCAGGACAGTCTTTGGTGTCACACTAGGGTGACAATCCAGGATGGAACCACCTCTGATGTAGTAAATCAAATGCTTAACTCTTCAGATTACATAGTAATATACTAATTTCTCTGGTGTGTGCGTCTTCATTTTTTAATTTTAGTAACTATTATTTCTGTCATGTGCATGTATACAATATCACAGCGTCAAGAATATACAGACAGTGAACTATTCTATTAGTACAGAAGAGGAGTAGCCTGGCAAGCATATAAAACGCTAATGTTGCCTTTTGGAAGTTTAGACAGAAGTGAGAGCTACCAGCTTTCAGTGACTCCACCTGGTTGACCAGATCTCTCTTTTCCCTAGGCCTCTTCTCAGGAGAGCTCCCAGAATGTACCCAGGAACTGATGATTGATGTCACCAAGAGCTACTATCAGAAGTTTTTGCCACTGACACAAGTCTAGTGCCTCTGCCTTGCCCTGTGTCTTGAATTTGCTTGAGCTCTAAGATGAACTTGGGGAGCCAAAGAGCCAGTCAACATCTACAAAGAGGTCATGTGTTTGACACCATCCACCTGCCCTTCTTTTTTTTTTTTTAACAAAAAAAAAATTTTCTTTAAAAATTTTCAATCCTTCAAGGCACTGAGTTCTCAAGAACTTAATGACAGAACATCTGGAGGAGTGTCTCCTAACATTGTGCTTAAGTTTTATTAACTTCATACACCTGGGGTCTTTATAACACCCCTGCCTGATGGTCCTGAGTGTGGATAGGTCCTGCCTGAAGCAGCCAGCTGAGCAGGAGCACTGTCTGCACATGGTGGTTATGTAGCTGGTCTGCTGCTGATGACCTGCTGACAATGTGCTCACACTTCTATATAGCAGCCTCAGTCTCTCTGCTGCTAAGACACTGGCCAGTTACCATAATAGCTCATAATCCTAGGAAAGAAAGGTTTTGTTTTAAAATGTTGGGGTTTTATTTTTGTTTTTGTCTATTATTTTCAGAATCTAGATTCCTTTTGGACACTGAAACTTATATTTCTTGGCAAGTATTTCTTCTGTTCCCAAAATGACCTTAGCAGTCCCCAGACTGGTTAGTAAGACCTTCTAGCATTCTGTGGTTGGGTCTTTAGACTTCAGTAAAAGAAGGGACCAAGTCCCAGGTTTGAGTCTGTCATGTAGAAGGGCTCGTGTGGCAGTCACTCAGTCTGAGGGTATCTGGAGGTAGGGGTGGATGTCTTATTTCATTGAAGATACAGCATTTACAATGCTTGTTCTCTGGCCTAGAATCTGTCAGCCCAACCCTGTATTTGCCATAAAACTCCATGTTCTGGCCAAAATATCTGTCCTTGGACATAATGTATCCTTGTTGGCCTTAAGAACCACCTTGTGTGCTCTGGGCCCTGAAGATTAAGTAAACATGTCAGTGCTGTTCTTACCACTGCCTTCCGGTCATGCAGCCCTTCTTTCTGTTCTGACTTTGGCTTAGAAAGGAAGATTTGCAAGTGTACTGGCTTGATGTCCAGTTCTGGTACAGATCTGTTTATCCATGAAAGCTGGAATCTAGCAGGAGCTTTCTTGACTTAATACTTGGTTGTAGGGTTTGCATATATAACTGTGTAATCATACCTGCTAATTTGATGTAAAACTGGCTTTTACATTTTTTTCTGTCTTGCCACAGTTTTTGTGTTGATCTATTAAAACAATTATGAAAAAAGTCATTGAAGGTGTGGCCTCTCTTCCTAAAGCATGTTACTGTGTATCAAGGGGTAGGTGACCAGAATGTTCACAGGGTTACTCATTTCTCACAATGACTCTGTAAGGCAGATGTTAGTTATTCCCAGTTTACTAATGAGGAAACAAACACCGAGACAATTGGTACCTTAAATCAGTAAGGGAAGAAGTGACCGACGAGTCACACCCATTCCTGAGTGGCTCCTGTTCTTCAGTTCTGTTCTGGTTTGGCCTGGGGTCATGCCTGTTTGTTTTATCTGATACTCTGGCAGCAAGTGTGTTTGGCCTTTTTCTGGCATCTCCCCAAAATCCTCTCTCCTTTCCTAGCCCTCAAAAAGGTAAATTTTGGAATTCGGAGGATCTGGGTGAAAAGAGAGTAATGATGGGCAAGGTCCAGTGGTGGAGAATTTGATAGAACATAATGCATGAGCATGATAGTATAAAACGCAATGTGAAGAACAGTATGAAACACAGTGTATATGAACTTTGTAAGCAAACCAATAATAAACACAAAGATAACGTGATAAAAAAAATTGGAATTAGAAGAGCTTAGATGCTCCCTAGGCTGGCGTCTTGCTCACCCCGGGCATGTCTAACAGACTATCATCTAGTTTGTGTTTGAATGCTTCCAAAAGGGAGCTTGCTTTGTTGTGTGACTGAATGCCCATTTCATAGCTGACTGTGATAAAGAGAAAACCTCTATAAATGTGTCTATGTTGTGTTTTAGCCTCTTACAACAATTATAATTTAAAAATTTTAATTCAAGCACAGGATTTAAAAAAAATCAATGTAATTAATATAGGAGGAGAGTATAATACAGTAGATTTCCCCGCTGTAGAATCTCAGGCCCACTTTCTGCTTCCCAGGGGCCACAGTGTTGAATAGGTTTTTGGTCTCCTACTAGAAATAAGAATATGTGAACTATTTATATCCTCTCTCTATTCATTTAAATGAGAACACTATTTGTGCTATTCTACACCTTCTTTTGTCTAACAATATATCTTAATGACTGTTGTATTAGCACACAGAAGTAAAAATAATAGCAGTTACTACTTTGGGCATTGTCTTAGAATAGTTCTCTAGCAAAAGCAATGTGGAAATGACTCCTAGCTTACTCTCCAGTGTGACTCAGTCACACAAGAGAAGATTGCCCATCTTTGTCCCACAGAGTGGCTTATATTAGAATCATCACAGTTTTGTAACCTTTTGGCTACCAGCACAGCTCTCTGTGGGCTATGCCACCAGAGCTCTGCTACCAGAGTAGATGTGTGTGTGTGTGTGTGTGTGTGTATACTGTTGTTGTATTGTGCCATTGAGTTGACTACAACTCACAGTGACCCTTATAGACAATGGATCTGAATCCTGCCCTACCCAATACCATCTTTGTCATCTCTGATATATTCGAACCCATTGTTTCAGCCATTGTGTCAACCCATCGTGTTGAGGGTCTCCCTCTGTTACACTGACCCTCTACCTATCCAAACAAGATGGTCCTTTTTGAAGGACTTGCCCCTCCTAACAACATCCCCAGTGTACATGAGACCACGTTTCACCGTCCTTGCTTCCAAGGAGCACCTGGGCTGTCCCTTCTCCAAGACATACTCTTGGCAATCTGTGGGATATTCTGTACTCTTCTCCAGCAGCACACCTCAGAGCCATTGGCTTTCCTTCAGTCATCCTTATTCATTGTCCAACATTCAGATACATAGCAAGCAATTGACAATACCACTTGAATCAGATGCACTGTGGTCTTTAAACTGACATCATTGCTCTTTAGCGCTTCAAAGAGGTCCTTGACAGCACATTTTCCCAATTCAACCTGCCTTTTGATTTCTTGACTACTGGTAACAAGGATGTTGATTGTAGATCCAAGTAGTATAAATTGTATACAATTCAATCTTTTACCCATCTATCATGATGTTGCCTGTTGGTGAGGATTTTTGTTTTCTTCACTTTGAGATATAATTCATATTAAAGGCTGCAGTCTTTAATCTTATACAGCAGGAGTTTTAAGTCCTCCTCTCTTTCAGCAAGCAAGGTTGTGTCATCTGCATAATGCAGATTGTTGATGAGTCTTCCACCAATCCTGATGCCACATTATTCATCATGAAGTCCAGATTCTCCCACCAACAGTGAATAAGGGTTCCAGTTTCTCCACAACCTTGCCAGCGTTTGTTGTTTGCTGTTCTGTTAAATTTTGTTTACTGGGGTGATATGATATCTCATAGTTGTTTTGAAAGTCCAGCTTCTCAAGTAATTTGTTCCACATGCAGATTGAGTAGGTATGGAGAAATGATACAACCCTGACATACACCTTTCTTGATTTTAAACCATGCAGTGTTCCCTGCACTGTTGAGACAACAGCCTCTTGGTCTAGGTATGGCTTTCATATTAGCACAATTGTATGTTTTGGGATTTTCATTCTTCTGAATGTTATCCATAATTTGCTATGATCCACAGAGTTAGATGTCTTTGCATAGTCAAGAAAACACAGATGTTCTTCTGGTATTCTCTGCTTTCAACCCAGATTCATCTGACATCAGTGAAGATACCTCTGATGCCATGGCCTCCTCTAAAGCCAGCTCGAATTTCTGGCAGTTATGTACTGTTCTAGCCATTTTTTAATAATCCTCAGCAAAAGTTTGCTTGTGTGTGATAGTAATTATATTATTTGGTAATTTCTACATTCTGTTGGATCACCTTTTTGGGGGGGAATGGAAAGAAACAGGAATCTGTATGGATATGTGTGTGTATGTATATATATATATACACACACACACACCCCTCTCTCTAGCATGCACTCTCTCAGAGAGAAAGAGAGTGGTGTGGGAGATCTATTTCAAAGAAATGTTTCACATGCTTGTAGAGGTTAACAAATCTGAGATCTATGAGTAGACCTCAGGAGAGAAGTACCTGGGAGACCAGATTGTTGGCTAGCAGAATCCAAGAAGTGTCGAGAACTGCAGCTGGGTCCAAGACTGGGCTCAGAGACTGACAAATCCAAGGTTATTAAGGTTGAAGACAGCAGGTTCAGGTTGGAGGTATGAGCAGAATTAGGGACAAGGGAAGCTCTCTTGCTTTGCCAGAGAAGACAGACATATCTTCAGTATGGTCCACTCTTCGGAGGAGGCTTCCCTTTCATCCAGTCAGGCTGTTGCTGTTGTTGTTAGGTGCTGTTGAGTCAAGTACAACACATAGTGACCTTATGAACAACAGATCTGAACCCTGTCCCATCCTGTGCCTTCTTCACAATCTCTCACACCTTTAGTGAGTGGCTGTTAGGTTCAATCACAAAACTTTTTCCTTTTTTTAAAGAGGTAAGTTATTTTCTTCTTCCTCCCATCTCATCTCTGTTAATCTTCCTTAAATTTTCCTTAAAGTTTTTTCCAACTCTGAGCTGTTATAGATAGTACTGTAATAAACATGATTGTGAACGTATCAGTTTGTGTAGCAGCTCTTATATGACTAGCCTGTAAGACGGCACCAAACTGCATAGCTAAACTAAAGATATAAGCTGCTCTGCTGGAGAAAGACAAGTAGTTTTCTTCTGTGAGATTTATAGCCTATGAAAACAAACTGTAGGGTCAGCTATGAGATGGTTCCAGCATGATAACAATGAGTTTGAGGGGTTTTTGTTTGTTTGTTTTGTTTTTTTAATTTATTTTTATTGTATTATTTTTACGTGTACCGTCAAATCAGATCTGACTGGTACAGGATGAGATTGCCCCCTCCTT